CCGTGCGTAAAGCGCTACCGGACACCAATGGCTTGCCAGTTAAAACACAAGCGTCATTAATAAGATAGCGAGTAGCGACATTATCAGTCGCATCAATAACAATATCATATCTGAGGTAATGACTCTCAAGTTGCTGTTCAAATATTAAAAAAGACTTTACAAGGGGAAATAAAGGATGTGATCGGAGGATTATATCAATGGGCTAAGGATGTCGATCGAGAATTTCCTATATATTGAGTGCAATTTTCCTAAGCTGCGTACGTGTTGTTTAGTATTTGCTTTTTATTTTCTATAGCAAATATTCTTATCTTCATCTTGCATTACCAAAAATCAACGTTCAATTCAGAGTTCGCTTTGACTAGTCGATGGTTTGATAAGACCAAACCAATTTGACTGATTAATCGTATTATGTTCAGCGTTGTCAAATGGAGCATGTTAATAATAATTAATAGGGCAATGAAATGTTCATTTATAAAAAAAACAATAAATAATTTTATCTAAACATTTTTATTGTAGCAGATTTAAAAATACGGTATATCGATATGTAAAATTAAAAAAACAAATTGTATTCTTGACACTTTAATTTTTTTATGGACAATTTTCCGAAAATCATATCGATATTAGGTGTACCTCGCGCAAGATAACAAAATTCTAACACCTGCAACTTCATGCACCTTGCACAAGATAATGTTAACCTTACGTGAAGTAAAATTATTTGATAATCAATGAGCTATCAATTTAATGGTTTTTTTTTAATTAAGTAATATATGATAACTCACCGCGCAAAATCGCGCAATGTAAATTTGCGTGATGTTGTGAATATATACTAGTTTGACTTCGCGCGAGGTACATCTCTACTTTAGACGTCCCTTTAATTTGTCAAGGTTATTGCTACCGTATAGAGGCGGAAAAATTTCAATTTTCACGTTTTTTTTTTGTGATTAATTAACTTGAACGATGTGATTGAATAATCCAAACTAACTTGCCTGTATATAATTAAATATCACTTTGTTGTATCTCCTAATTTCAATAATTACAGTATTCAAACTGAAAAAGTTTCATCTATATGTGCAGATTTTATCGACTTAGGGCTTTCTCAATTACCTAAATTAATGAAATTTTATTGATGGAAAATAATTTAACCGACCAAGTGTGTTCTTCATCGCAATTAAAAAGGAATCAGTCAGAATTCGAATAAACTAATCAAGAGAGTTTAGCAAATATCTTTTTTTTTTCAGAGTTTATTCTGATTGACTAAAATTTAAAATCCGCAATTCGCACAACGAATTTTCAGCATATCGTTACCATCTAATCGTAATAACCACTTAAATTAATAGTAATGAATGAGCAACATCTTGATAACTTTTCAATTCATATTGAGAGAGCTGCTTGTGAACGTTCTTAATATCCACATTTCGCACTATGAATCTTCTACAAAATTGCCGTAAGGATTGCTTGTGTACGATCTCGATCACTATTCAATCACATTGAGGGAGTTGCTTGAGAACGCTCTTAAATGCAGTAACGACAACACGATAAATTTTCTCAACCAATCAGGTCGTCTAGTAAATCCATAACAAAATTTTCGATTTGGGTGTTCTCAAGCATCTAACTAAGTGAGTTGGATGCAAATTTTAATTAGCCGAAAATTGAACAAACTGATCAAGAGAATTATCATTTCGCTGAAAAAAATTTAGAGGCCAAACCATCTTTTTTTCCCCATACCGTTGCTCTGATTGACTAATTTAATACCTGCATTTTGTACCATGAATGTTCAGAAAAGATTATTTTAATTTATGCACGATCTCAATCTTTGTTCAATCTTTATTCAATCATATTGAGGTAGGTGTTTGAGAACTAGAGTTGTTAATGGAGTAGCATACTCCGGAGTGAACCCAACCCAAGTTGGAGTGGGTTGAAGACTAGTTCAACCCAACCCAACCCATTAACAACCCTATTGAGAATACACTATTAATTCAACACGAAAAAAAATACAGCAAGAGTCAAGAAAAACGAAGTATAACGAAAAGAAGAAGGAAAAAAGCCTAACAACTTACGAAAAAACGAGAAACTCTGGTATGACTTAGAGGAGCAAGGAACTACGATTTCGGTAATAAAAATACCAATATGAACAATTCCGGAGACAAAAAAGCACAGACACCAGCGACGAAAGAAAAAAAATATAAACAATGTA